GGGTGGTGTCCCGGTCGCTCTGTCTCAGAGAGAGGAGATAGAACGGAGACGGTGGGGTCAGTAGCGGGCGGCTCGCCCGCGCCGACGGAAGGCGGTTCGCCTGAGTCGGTTGTGACTCTTGTAGCTCCAACTGCTGTATTCTCAAGGCTTACGCAGGAACCGGCTGCTGTATCAGTCGCTGTGTCACAATCAGTCCAAGAACGGACCCTCCCTCCAATCGCCCAGGCGCAAGCCAGTGACGCGACGCTGTCGGCTCTCCGAAGAGCACACGAGAGGAAGGAGAAGCCAAGGCCTGCAGCGTTCGCTGGGTGGGGAGTGCTGCGAAAACACTGGAGCAAGGTGCGCGTCATGAATGGAGTAATCGGCATTGCCTCGGGTCGACAGTTCCAGGCGGCGGTGCCTCAAACTGAACGGGCCGAGATCATCCGACTGGCGCATGATGATCCATCGAGCGGGCACATGGGTCGCAGACGGACCATCGCCCGGGTGAAGGCTCGATTCGTCTGGCCGGGGATGAATGAGGACATCCGGAGCTTCTGTGCCTCGTGCACGCCGTGTCAGCGGCGGTACAGACCGGCACCCAAAAGACGAGCACCGATGGTTACCGAGGTTACCTCACGACCCTTCCAGAGAATAGCCATGGACATCACGGAGATGCCTGTGTCGAGAAGAGGCAACCGATATGTGCTCGTGATCATGGATTACTTCTCAAAGTTCGTACGAATCTTCCCGATGCCGAATCAGAAGACAGAAACGGTGATGGAGGCACTCCTTCACTGGGTTCAGGAGCTTGGTGTTCCCGAGAGGCTTCACACAGATCAGGGCGCTCAATTCGAATCTCTGATGATGCGTGAGCTGTATCAGAGGCTCGGCATCCACAAGACTAGAACAACGCCTTATCATCCTGAGAGCGACGGGATGGTGGAGCGCTTCATGAGGACCCTGAAAGACATGGTGTCGAAATACATCGACAGCCAGGGCCTTGACTGGGACGAAAGTACCAGATCATACGCCATGGCCTACAATTCTTCCCTCCACGAAACCACCGGTCACACACCTTTCTACATGATCCATGGCTTTGAGCCTCGGTTGCCTTTGGATGTAATGTACGGAACCGATGAAGTCGCAATACCAGCTGAAACCTTCCTGAACAAACGGCTGAAGAACATGAAGCGGGTCTTCGCACAGGTGAGGAGAGCCTCCTCCCAATCAGCTGCTCGAATGGCGGTTCGCCATGACAGCAAACTCAATTTTACCGCGTACCCAACGGGCTTGAAGGTGTGGGTACGAGACCACACTGCCGCTGTGGGAGGAAAACCGAAGCTGGGTCTGCCGTTTAAAGGACCGGTGACCATCGTCGAGAGAAGAGGCACACCGGGGGAGGAAGTTACCTACCGGATACAGGACGTCCGCGGCAAGACACGCGTCGTGCACCACAACGACCTCAAGGAGTTCATCCCTCGTCGGACCGACTTGCGGCCAGTTCAGGATCCGAGTGGTCCAAATGGACGTGGTGAGGCCGTGGGGGTGGATCCCGTGAGTGACTGTGGTAACGAGCATGGCGTTCTGCTCGAGGTGCCGCTAATGCACTTACTCGGGAGAGCTGGCCCATCTGGTGATGTGGGCGTCGCTCAGAGGGGAATGTTGCCGCCAATGTCATACGTGACCAGATCAGGCCGAGTGTCGCGACCACCTGAAAGGTTCCAGGCGGGACTATGAGTGTGGTGGAGGTGGTGAAGGCTGTGATTGTGTATATAGTTGTAATGTAAATAGCGTGTCGTAAGTGTCGCATTGTTCAATGTATGATTGTTTCCGTGAGGGGGGAGGGGTGTTACGGGCGGCTGTGACCGCCCGTTGTGGCATGCCTGGCGCCGCCCGTGGCGCCTCCCCGGCTGGCCGCGCCCGGCGCCGCCCCTGCCGCGTGGCCCTCGGGCGGGGTCGAGGGCTGGCGCTGGCTGGGCGGTCGGCGGCCCGGGAGAGGCAGGGAGACCGTGGTTACGAGCGGTTGGCTCTGTGGTTCTTGTTTGGGCCTCTGCCGATAATACAGTAAAGCATCGAGTCTGAGTGTGTTCAGCTCCCGCAACATACCTACCTAAAATGGAGAGGCCGCAAAATTGACCTGACGTTAGGTCAGCGATATCAAAATTCCGAGATAAACATTTCATAGATAATGTTGCTCTTATCAATCGCTGAAAGTTTCAAGGTAATCGATCAATCGGTGTAGCTATGACGAGCATTCTTATTTTTCTGAGGTGAGGTCACTTGGCGTGACCTCGTGACCTGACCTAAGGCGACCTGGGTCTGAAATTTTTACAACATGTGTGGAAAAAATGCACAAACAGGTGCGACAAAAACGGCGGCGCTCCGCGCCGACGTTTTTTTTTAAGATATCTGCGAAAAACCGCAGGGGGTTGCTCAAACACCCCCCCCCCCCGCCCGGCGCGGGTTAATTACTGTCCTTGTCCTGTTACAGATAAACAGCGTGCCACAACAGAGCCTTCAAAGTATACCTCTCAGTCTTTCATCGAACGAGATTGTATCCAAAGCATTCAAGGTTGTACATCAAGACACAAATCAGACTAGAATCAATCTCAACAACGCACTTTCACCATCGAACTATCAATATAGTTACTCAGAAACCATCTCATCTTGCTCCTACTGCATCCAAACAGGGGCGCGGGAACTATTTTCAGACTAGGAGGGCACACCATAATAGAGATCAACCTAGGGTACCCCCAAATCTGGTTTTCTCACCGGTTCCAGGCCACTTATTTCTGATCCCTTTGCTTTTTAAAAAAAAAAGAAGTCACTTGCAAAAAAGTGCGGTATTCCGTCTCGAAGTTGTGGGGGAACCGCCCCCACGGCCCCAGAGTTGGGGGGGGGGGGAAGCTGCCCCCACTGCCCCCCCCCCCGGCTCCCGCGCTCATGCATCCAAATGACGGGAACAGATCTTATCACGCGCTTGGCATTGAAACTCGCTGAAACCAAGCTCAAACCAAGTCAGTCTCGTGCCGGAGTTTTGCTGGATCGACAATTTTGGAAGTGCAGCGCCCAGCTGATTAAAAGTGGCGTGGCTGCTCTTTTGCTGTGCTGAAGATTCTCCATTAGGACGGAGTGTGATCAATGATCCTAGTGACTGAACAACGTGTGACAGTTTTAGGAATATTCTCAGAGGTGGTGTTTGGAGAAGTTTACCACCTGACGTTGTCATGCGATGGTGGGAGTGATTTGCTGAAGATGTTGGCCTAAAGACGCTGGCTGCTGAATAACGCATCGCCCCGACGGATTACGACCTCCGTGTGACCTGAGTGACTGAACCCAAATTCACTAGACAAACGCACCAACAGCCGGCCATCCGACCTCACGAGCCACCAATGTCCTCCGGTCCCCAGACGCCACCTCCCTCCCCGCGTACGACGACTACGACATCGCCACCTTCTCCACCTTTTCCAACCTCACCCCCTCCAATATCACACTACTCGCTCCTGAACGTGCCGCTCTTCACACCGTCATCTCTATGACGGTGCTCGACGGCGTCATCTTCTTCGTCAGCGTCTTGGGCAACACCATCACCTGAATCACGATCTTACACAACGGGTCCATGCAGACGACCATCAACTACTACCTCTTCAACCTGGCCATCTCCGACCTCCTGCTGCTCGTCACGGGACTGCCGTTCGAGCTGTACTCCTTCTGGAGGCCTCACGGTCAACATGTCTTCGGAGAGGCCTTCTGCGTCTGTGTGCTGAGACCTCCACCAACGCCTCCTTCTATTTCTGACCATCGTCTCCTTCACCGTGGAGAGATACCTCGCCATCTGTCATCCCCTTCTTCAACATACCTTCTCAGGACTAGGGTGGTAGAGTAGTGTACTGGTCACTGGTTAGGGTCCCCGCATCATGTTCCATAGGTCTTGAGTTCGAATCTCTGGGGATTCCGAACTGAAGCGACACCGCTCGTGTGGGCGGTGTCGCTTCTATATGCCCTATTCCCGGCTCTTCAGTTCGAAATCATGTTTCAACGAGATGAAGATGGAAGGATCATCCCCTGTCAAGGCCGCTGTACGGTGGTGCGTGAGGTGTTTCCTCACGTGTTTGAAGCATCTTCGGTGCTGTTTTTCTTCTTGCCGATGTTGATAATCTCTACCTTGATCACTACGTTTCCATGACACGTCTAAATCGATTTAGCGAAATTTCACGTGCATTTTTCGCGGAAACTTACCTTATGCCAAAAATGAGCGTATTTATGGTTTTAGCTAGCACCTTATCCTATATTTACATGTTTACATTATGCCTAAATGCTATGATGAAGCAAATCCATTTTTCAAAATCGGCTTAACTTGTGCCATGGAAACGTAGCCAATCACACTATTGTATATCCAGATCGGGTTTAGTGAGGCACCGGTTCGTCACGTGACTCAAAAACAAAATCAGCTGATAGAGGGCCGGAATCAGGACACAAGCACGACAAATATAAGGTGTTCTGGTATTCGAGATGTCTGCAGAATATATGCGAAAATGTTTGAGAAAATGTACTTAACCACCTGCGAGTTTTGTGATGTCAGCACTTGCTCCGTTCTGTGTGTGCCAGCCCTGTTCAAAATTTGGTGCTACATAAATATGTGAGGAATTTGTCAATGTCAACGTCTCTTAAGTTCAGCTAAGCTGGAAAAAATGCGACATCAGAGACCTCACTAGCAAGTGTTGTGCCAGTGTCACGTGACCCTATGTGGTGACCACCTCCACGTAACAATCTCTCCGTAACCTCTATCGTACCGGTATAGCTGCTCCTACGTAACCACCCCTACGTAACCGCCGCCACAGCTCCGCTAATAATGATATGCAGCTGGGTGTAAATGTAAACACCAACAATCTCCGCGTGTGTTTACCCTCCTGGTCTGTCGTAATCAGCTGATACACGGGACAATAACCCGTCCCTACATGTACAAAGGGGATCATTATACTCCCACATGTACAAAGGGGATCATTATACTCCCGGTGTATTGTCACTGCCGTTACTGTATTACAGATATAAAGCAGGCACGTTTGGTGATCATACACAAGAACATAACATGGCATATAAACACGTAAACAAAAACTCCAAGGACATTAGCTAGTTGCAACTGGCTGCTAAGCTACCCATAACATCGATTGGAGTTGCATTAGGCAAACGGAATAACGGGAAAGAATATACGCAAACCAGCACAGCCGCGCGGCACAAGCAAAGCTCATCAATGATTTGTCACAGATAATTCAGACACAATCCGGTGCACAACCTTTTTGATCTCCGCATGTGTACAAAATATTATAAAAGCTACATAGCTGTGAATTTATCGTTTAATATGTACATAGGTGGACATCTAAACCTACATAAAACTTGTTTCCAACGCAGTAGTATAAGTTCGCTGATGAGCTTCTACAAAGCAGCGCGCACGTAGGACCTCACAACATATGCAATGTGCAATCTCCACCAATGATATTTCACACAATTCATTAGAAAGAAAGTAAACACCGCACAGTGCGTCATCCGCTCGCTTCAGAATCCACAGATAAACCAATGTCTTAGGTTCAATGGTATGGCGCACTGTGGAGCCACACACACAAGTTCCTGGTCCATATTTCACGCCTCACTTGTAATGTATCACGCCATTATATTCACATTTTGTCCTTCTACCTGTATATAAATCATACACGAAATGTCCATGGACTTTTTCGAACACGTATTATGTGATAAGCCAGCGTAGTTTTGAATGGAATAATGGTGTTCGACCCCACCGTGTTCACCCGGTGCACGCTGGTGCTGAAGGAACACAGCTTCACCAGCTCCCAGCTGGAGATGAAGCCCGGCAGACTGTCGTCCCATTTGTCCGTCACCTCGGAGCCTTGTCATGCGAGGGTGAACAAGCCTGCCGGCACCGGGTTGAATATGACGTCACTCGGGACAAAATGTGACATATGACGTCATAGAGGAGACAACAGGTGCTATATGACGTCATGGGAGAATAGTGACAGAGTGACGTTACTGCGACGATAACTGACTGAATGAACATAATAACGTCTTCGATATATTGAACGATATGACGTCACTGGACTGGTCCGAATTACGATAAAATAACCGCAACATTGACAGAGAAACATCACCACTCACAATAAAACAAGGGCTGTCAGCACACTTTCAATTGCCGTGTGATCGACGTACCTGCTCGATCGATATAGCTTCTCCAGCATATTTAGGAACATTACAACCCACATAATTCATCATAATACAGTGACCACTCGCGGCAATGACCTCTGAACTCCGGGCGCCCTGAATTTGTACACACTGATCGGAACTGAAATGCACCGGCCTTTACAACAATACGTATAGGGTGCAAATATTGTATAGTATATTCAACAACAATTTACTGTGCCTCCTGAAGTTAACTCGCCGTTGTTTACCGGCTCTTGGTTTGCATGTTGTGGGGTTATACACTGCTGCCATCTAATGGTGAAACCACTGTGTATGGTGCTGCCATCTGTGTGTTCCCTCCTGTCTATGGAAGGGACTACATGAAGCACCACCAGAACAGAACAGAACTCACTGAGGATGACTGCTGTAGGCGCATTCTGAGTCGGCGTGGTATTTTCGTATGATACTTCTAGGTACCCTTCACCACTTTGAGGCTGCTGGTGGTTGGCTGCCTTCTCAGCTTCTCATAGACGGTGGCTGTGGATAAGACAAGAAATAGGGAGAGGTTTGGAAATTGGAATGAAAGAAGTTAGGTACATACCTATATAAGCAGACAAGGTAGTCGAAGATAGCTAGATCTCTAATATATATATATATATATATATATATATTATTTGGAAAGCTAGATCTCTCATATACATATTCTATTTGGAAAACGATTTCTCACATTTTAACACGCGCACCGACGGAGGGGTGGATATCCGCCCCCTGAGGTTTTTCGCGAATAGCGGGAAAACCGAAATTTGGTACGACTATTCTCTCATCAATTTTACACATGGTATGTAAGTTTGAACCTCCTAACTTTTAAGGTCACGTCACCAGGTCACTTTGAATGACCCAAGCTCAAGTAACTTTTTTGCAAATTTGTCAGCGTGTCAGAGCTACAGTAGATGTAGGAGGCCTTTGAAAGTCGCAGGATGTTATAAGGTCATTAATAGCTACAATTTGTATGTCTCGGAATTTTGATATCGGTGACCTAAGGTCAGGTCAATTTCGCGACCTCCCCATTAGGTATAAGTCAATGGGGAAAAAATCAACTCCCTGTTTTTACCACTAAAACGGGTCGCAATGGCCCCATTTAACCTTCGCCCCAGTGGGGGGGGGGCATATGTTACCACCCTGTCTCGTTTTTTGCGTGTGAATAAAAAAGCCGCGGCGCGTAGCGCCGCGCCGCTTGGGGTAGCTTTTGGTACATCAATTTTGGACAATGTGTGAAATTTTTGACCCCAGGTCATGTCAGGTCAGGTCACCAGGTCAAGTTAACTGACCAAGCCTAAAAAATGTTTGCAGTCATGTCAAGCCTGCAGTGTTTGTCAGAAAGGTTTTAAACTTGGTGGATTGCATGCTGTTATGGGCGCCTACAATTTGTATATCTCGGATTTTTTATATCCGTGACCTAAGGTAAGGTCAGTGGCGTGACCTTTCCATTACAAGTCAATGGAGAAAAATGAAAATGCCTCTAGATCCGTGTGTACGCATCGGAACAGTCCAAATATTTCAGAATCACAATGATTTAGTCCACTCGTGATGACCAAGGTCTCATTTTTGCTGATAGCCTCTAGACAGGTCATCCGAGGTCACTTGAGGCTACAAACAGTTTTTTGCCAATAACTCGCGATTGGAAAGAGATAGAACGCTGGGGATGGTCTCATTGTGTTTGTCTTGTTGAGGCGCATCGACTGATATGCAACATGACCTTTTCCGGTAAGGTCATGACCTTGACCTGAGGTCAAATTTTGAAGTTGACCTTTCAAGGTCAATTTATAGTTCATTCGACGCGTCTCGGCGAGGGGAACACGATTCTGGCAATAGAAATGTGGTGGCTTTTTGAAGTCGAAAGTTATTGTCGAAAAACACTTTTCGTAAGAACAACTATTTTTGGAGTTTTTGCCCTCTGGAGGCTAAACCGTTGACCTGAGGTCAATATTGATAATGACCTTTTCAAAAGAAGAGTTCAAAAACTATCGATTGCTATTCCATGCGTTTTTCTAGCTACCATACTTTCTGAGATAGCGGCATGTTTTCTGAAAAATAAAATGACAATTGGCAAATTTTGACCTTTGATGACCTCTGGTGACCCCAATATTGCTCTAAGGTGAAAAATGACCGAAGTACTTTCAAACGTACGCATTGAGAGCTATCGACTGCTTTTTACCGTGTCTTTCTAGCCCTCTTAGTTTTTGAGTTAGAGGTGGGTGGTAACATATGCCCCCCCCCCCCCCCACTAGGGCGAAGTTGGCTGAGACCGCCACTGGGGCGCGGGTTAACATACATGACTTCATATACGATCACCCTTCACTACCTTGAGGTCTGTTTTGCTGTTGGGCAGCTGTAAGGTTATGTGACGTCATCAAAGGTCACCAAAGGTTTTTTGCCAATAACTCCGTACAGGAACAAGATGCAGCCGCGCGGATGGTCTCATTGTGTTCAGCTCGTCAAGACGCATCGAATGATATACATGATGACCTCGAGGTCACGTGACCTGAGGTCAACCTTTGACCTTGATCCTTCGAGGTCAACATATATATCATTCGATGCGGATTGACGAGAGAATCACGATGATGCCCTTAGATTGTTCCCATCTTGACTAATTCGAAAGTTATTCGAGAAAAACTCTCTCCATATCTAGCGCGGCCATTTGGACTTTTTCGACCCCTGTGACGTCATCTTTGACCTGACATGAAAATGACCTGTGTAAAAATTGTAGACCTTGTCCGTGCATATCCGATGCCGTTTACCGCCTGTCGCTATCTTGCTTCGTTCTCGAGATCTCAGGGAAGGGGGCGGTCATCCGCCCCCTCCCGTCGGTACGAAGTTGGCGCAGACCCCCGTCGGTGCGCGTGTTAAAATCAAACATGTGATGTGTCACAATGCGCAAGTATGATCCAACCGTCTCACCGGGACACAAACAGCACATGAGCGGGTTTATGATGCCTCATGAGTCATGCAGAAAGCAAAGCATTACAACCGACAGTCAGGCACCAGTGGTTATGTTGGCTGTCCGGCCTGTCCGTTTATTTTCACGAGTACCTACAGCACACTAGACTGATTTCTCGTGTACATCTTTGCTCAATCAAAGGTTATACAAAGCTTAGCAACACAGCCAATAACCTCCAGTTGGGTTCAATTTACACTATCAGCCAAATAGTCACTTTTCATATTGTGGGTCTCGTAATTGCAAACATGCACACAGTGGGGCGAAAACACAAAATACAACGATATATCCGACATGCACAATGCACAATGCAACTCCCCTACAGCCAGTGGTGTCACACAGGTCAGATTCATGCTTAAAAATGATGCCACTATGCTATTTATATCAGTTTTGACGTCACATCAGCGTCATGTGCTCATCTCCACCCGTTGAGAGATTATACGACAGCGACTCCGAGAGGCCGTTCTGGCCTTAGCGCTCACTCCCGTGCTTACCTCCCAGCGATGCATGTCATCCATTTGGCCATTTGAGGCCTGCCCTCGGCGCCGCCTGCCCGGTGCCGGGCGGCGGCTCCTGTCCTTACGTCCTCAAACACATCCGAGGGCAGACGGTAAAGGGCGAGGAAAGGAATGTGAGACGAGGTTAGGTGGCATGATGGGGATGGGGGCGGGTCGCCTCACCGCACAGCGTCGTCTCCTCTCGCCCCCGCGCGGCGACTGACTGTCTGTGAGGCACCGCGGTCGGCCCGCCTCCCCTGTTTGTCGCTCTAGGGTGTTATCACTGCCGGCGGCCCGGCCGTGTGTACTTTACCGCCCCGTTCTCCTCTCCCGTCCCCTCCCCGCCCCAGCCCTCATCCAACCCACGATGGTCGCTGCGCCGGTCTCCCGTCCGTTTCCCGCTGGCCAGAACCTCAGTTATCTTTGTGCGATAACCCGCGCCCTGGTGGGGTCTGTTTATAACGCGACCTGGTGGGGGGGGGGGCTATTTTTTGCCCCCCCTCGTATCTTTGAAACTACTGGACGGATCCTCAAAATTCAAACGGTGTTCGAAAGGCCTGTCAAATTTGTCGAAGGGAACCAAATTTCATTGACCTCGGGGTCACCGATGACGTCACAGGTCAGGTCAAAGATGAAATGTTTCACCGTTCACGGGTCTACTAGGGAATGCGCTATATCACCGAGGAAAACGCACTTTGTCGAGAATCAGCGATAGGGCGTCAATCGCCTAGTAGATATGTTGCTATTAGAGGTCACTGACAATACCAGGTCAGGTCACCAAGGGTCACAGGTCAGGTCACATGAACCTAACTTTACTAAGGTTGTGTGATGCATGTTTTATGGCCAATTTTTCATTTCCAACTCAATGGTGTTGGTTATAAGACTATCAGGTACGGCTTAGGTCACTTTCTGGTGAAGGTCAGGTCAACGTCAGGTCAAAGTCAGGCCAAAAAGGTCAAATTTTAAAGTTGATAGTTTTGCATAAAATGGGTATTGATTCGATGCAGCTCGTCACGGGGAGTCTAACAATGGTTTTTGTTTTGCGCTACGGGGTCTAGAATTGCTAAAAAATTGAGTTTGAAAATTTGACGTCATTAATTGTGAACAGTTTTTTCGCTATAACTTCGCCAAAAAAAGAGGTATCAATCCAAAATTTGGTATGTGGATGGTAGGCGGTAAGGACTATCACATATATTTCGGTTTTTGCGAAATTCAAAAAACTTTTTGGATTTTTCGACTATAATATCCAAAAAATCTATTTTTTGATTTTTGGGGGTCAAAATCCTAAAATTTCAAAAATTCGAGATAGCAGTTTTGTAGCCCTTTCAATCCTACAGCTTTTATATCCTTATTATTTTTCTGTATTTGCAAAGCTATAGGCCTGACAGCTCTTCCCGCAAAACCCTTTTTTTGGGTCGAAAACGGCAGAACATGACGTCACTCTGACGTCATTTCCGGCCAACCTATCATAGCTTTTGGAATTTATTTTGGTCACAATGTGTAAAATTGATGTCCGGGAGGGTACTGAAAGTTCAGTGACGATCGGCACAGCGGTTCTGGAGATATATCGAAAAGTCTGGAGGGGGGGGGGGGGGGGGGCAAAAAATAGCCCCCCCACCAGGTCGCGGGATAACTAACCGGTGGCGCCGATCCGTCTGCTGTGGAACTGATCAGAAGCGCTGGGCGGCGCCGTCGCTTACCTTGGACCCTGAACCTCAGTGCTCTCGGCTTGCCGTCATCTCTTTTCCCCAGGTCTGCCCGGACCAGGGCGTCCAGGACCGACTGACTGAGCTCCTCCGTTGCATGAAAAATCAGCCACTCCAGTTTCCGACAGGTAACCACCAGTCTGCGACACAACATGACACAGGCCAATCAGCGACACCAGCCGGCCGACAATCCGTCTGGAGGGGACGGGTCCGGTCTCCACAGGGCCAGTTCAAGTCAGGTCCAGTCCGGTTGGGGTTCGGCATTCGGGTCCGGTCTGAGACTGGGGTCGATGCGCCTAGATAGCGTGCTTACTGGTATTGGATTAAAAACATTGTAACCGCCGCCCAGAGGTCATTGGGCAGCGATGTTTCCTTTTCCCCAATTTGCCGCCTCCAATTAATTAATAGAACCTTGAACAGGGCGTGGCACGCGGTGAAGCGTGGCCATTGATGACACACGATTGTGATACATTCAGATCCCACAAAAGTAAGATTATTGTCCATTGATAATTGATTAATCTATGCATTGCTTTGAAATGATTGGTTTTTGTGTTGTTCGTGTGTCCATGTGTATTATTTTTTGTTGATACTATTGTTTGTTTCAGGTTTTACGTACTATTGGTCTCAAGATAAGGGTCCAGGCGGCCTGTAGGTTTGATGCGGTGAATACCCTCACCCTCGCCAGAGCTTGAGTGGGGGTAGGGGAGGGGGTGCGTTCGCCCCGAGTCTGACAGCGGGGTCGCTCGCCACAGTGGTGTCCAGCAGTGCAGTCGGAATCAGGCGGCATTATGCCGGCGGCGGTAACCGGTCGAAGGGCCTGGCTCAGTCGCGTCTCGAAACGAGTTACCGAGCAGGGTGTCAGCGATAGATGGGAGGGGGTGTGGTCAGGGCGCTGTTGGATCACCAAATCAGCATGCTGTCAGTGTGCTGGCGTTTCTCATCTTCTCATTGGTCATTGATGAACCACACGTGGTGTGTGCGGTTGACCAATGAGAGACTAAGAGACGCCTGTAACTGGCTTCCATATATTGGAAAACCGACAGCAAGCGGAAAAAACGACAGTGCATGGGGCATACTAGCTTTAACCCTATTAGTGGCAGGGGGGGGGGTTGTTTTTATCCACCCCTCAGGTTTTTCGAGAATATCTCCGAAACCGCTGAAGCTACGATGCTGAAATTTTCTGACTTTTCCTAAAACTAAATTGGGCACATTCCCTGAAAATTTCAAGTTCATAACTTTACCAGGGGCGGCTCCAGAGCACTGGGAATTGGGGGTCCTATTCGTGAAGCGAGTCATTTGGGCGAAGATCACGATGCTGCACCAGTTTTACGAACAGTGAATGAAAGGTATCATGTGATAACATATACAAAGTTATTGTTCATCCTCTTTTGACACGTTTTTGCTATAATAGGCGGATCCAGGCGTCCAAAAAGGGGGGTTATTTTTTACCTCCCAACATAGGTGCCCTGACACCGCCTATGCATGACCAATACAATTTTAGTCGTTCTCTCATAAGAAAATTGTAACATAACAAGACCATTGCCACCCTTTTTAGAAACAGTACCAACAAAAACCTTATTTACTATACTTTTTGTGTACCCCCAATCTCAATAATCTGTATCCGCCTATGATTTTTGAAAATGCATATTTTTAGGATCCATGTGAATTCCTGGTTCATTCTCTATCGATCGGCAAAAGTTGCGTTAAGACTGGTTCAGAAACCTGGCCGTGATAAACAGTCTAAAATGTATCTGCAATTTGCCCGTTTTTACCCCCCTCTACCCCCCTATTGACATTTTTTTTTTTTTAGAAATGTAGATCTCGTTGAGCCAAATCGAATGCCGTTTGAATTTTGAAAATCGGCCGGTTAGATCTCGAGATATCAAGGGGGGTCGTAAACAGCCCCCCCTGCCACTAATATGGGGTAGCCAGGAGCCTGCCACTAATAGGGTTAAAGCTCACTCCGCAAAAGCATAACTTTCCATGGTTGAGGTTGACGGGTGTTACCTACCCCAGACTTCTTGCGATTGCTCTCAACAAGGCAACCATAGGAAGCTGAAAATAGCACACCTGACTTGATTCAAGCCGATTCTCTGGTGACACCAACGACCAATTACATTTTCAATTCTCGTCGAGTCACTGACCTTTGACGTCATAAAAGACTTTACTCGGTCCTAAAATATTGCGGCTTGGCAACTCCGTCATTGCTAGGTCAACTTCAGCAGATAAATAAAATTCACAGGACTTCATATTCTTCCGAGACCTTGCAACTTTTCTGTCTCGTAATTTTCTGTAAAGTTCACGTAAATCTAGGCCAATGACGAGACCTCACCGTCGTAATTCAACAAGGAACAAGGGACATGAAAATTTATTTTGATGACAAAAAATGATTTAACCCTCGCCGGACCTATTGGTTTTCTAAATACGCGCCGGCCGAGGGGGGGGGGGGCGGGTACGACCCCCCCTCGCCGTTTCGCCCCTGGTGGAGCTAGCGCGTCGCGGAAAAAACGAGCTTGTGCGCCGTTACGAGACGCAGAGATTGGTACCCGATTTTAAGGTCCTAGGTCAACCGGTGACCTCTGAGGTCAGGTCAAGTGCCCCAAGGTACGGTTCAGTTTTTGGTGAATAACGTCGCAAAAAACGGCCGCAGAGCGCCGATTTTGGCAGCATCGTGTTCGCCTCGCTCGGGCGCGTCGAATGATATACTTTTTGTCCGGGTCAGGTCAACTTGGGGTGTTGACCTCAGGTCAAGGTCAGGTCAGCACCCCCAGGTCACGAAGTTGGTCGAAAGAGGTCATGTCGCATATCATTCGATTCGGCAGGCCTTCCTGAGTCCATCGGTGGCTTTCCCGACTCGCTAGCTCAATTTGATCAAGAGTTATTGACGAAAAACTAATATGACCTTGATGACGTCATAAATGACGTCACGAAAGGTCAACATTGCAAAAGTGACGCATCTAACCTTGCAAGGAGTGCATCAAATCACGATTCTGTGTACTTGAGATAGTTGGAGATCGTTCCCGGCGCCAGAATAGCAGTTTTCATTTTTCCCCATTGACTTATAATGGTGAGGTCACGATGATGACCTGACCTCATATGACCTTTAGGAAAAATCCGAGATATACAAGTTGTGGGACTCATAATGGATACTAGATCCTGCAAGTTTCATTTCCCTGTGACATCTCCTCTGGTAGTGAGGGCGTTGCGAAGTTGCGACATCTGAAGACCGTGCAGAGGTTCACTTATGACGTCATAGGTCAGTGACCTGACCTGACCCAAAAATGCGGTTGGTGTCAAAAGATCCGGCTTGGATCAAAGGTCAGGTACGCCAAGTTTCAGCTCTCTATCGCCAGCGTGTTTGGAGCTATCGCGAAAAAACCCTATGGGGGGGGCGGCACCCGCCCCCCCCCTCGGCCGGCGAGGGTTAAGACTATCGTTTGCACATGGAGTCTTGCTCGTATCGCTTCACTCCGTGCAAGATAGATGCTCAACTATTGCGTTTTGAACCATGTGCAACGTCATAAACGACATTACATAGATATTGGAGCTTTTTTGTCATTAACCCGCGCCCCACTGGGGTCTGCGTATAACACGCCCTACTGGGGGGGGAGGGGGCTATTCATAGCCCCCCCTCCTAACTCCAAAACTACTGGGCCGATCGTCAAAATTCAAACGGCGTCTGATAGCCCCGGAAAAACTGTCGAGCGAAACCTAATTTCATTGACCTCGAGGTCACCGATGACGTCACAGGTCAGGTCAAAGTAAAAATTATTAGCATTTTGGCTTGTTCACGTTTTGGGCTATGGCCGCCGTCTTACAAGTCAGATCAGGCTCATTTTTGGTTCACACACTCGTGAACAGATGCTCTAGATACCCTGAGGGTACCAAACTTGTATTTTGATTTTCAGGTCAAGGTCAGGTCATCACAGGTCACGAAAATATTATATCATGCGTCGGTCACGTGACACAATTGTTTTATGGTCCATTTAGGCCAAAGATTTCGAATTTGATGTCGTCTGTGTCATTCGAGGTCATTTTGAGTCGAATTTAGCTTAGGTCAGGTCACTTTCAGGTCAAAAAAGGTCAAATTTTGAAGTTAGAATTTTTCAACAGAAAAGGTGTCTTTTGGATGCAGTTTGAGCTCAGGAACACGATGGTGCTATTTATATTGGCGTACGATGTCAAATACGTGCTGAAAAATTGATTTGAAAAATTAATAATTGTGGATTTTTTGCAATAATGCGTATAACTTGGCCATTTTTGAAGATATTTAGCTAAAACTTGCTAGAGTTAGTCATAATAACGCGTTCTATCACATATATTCCGGTTTTTTCGAAAAGTCAAAAACTTTTTGAAAAAAATGTAAAAATGTATATTTTGAATTTTATTATATAAAATTTTCGAAATTTTCAAAATTTCGAAAATCCGAGATAGGAGTTTGATAGCGCAGTCTATTCTGAGTCCTCTCATGCAAAGAAATTGGATCTAGCTTAAAAACTGAGCCCTTGGGAGCGATTGCCGTGGTTCAATGTTTTGCGTCGAAATCGGCCGAACATGACGTCACTCTGACGTCATTTCCGGCCGACCTATAATAGCTACGAAGTTCAAATTTTGACACAAGGTGTCAAATTGATGCGGCCGAAGGTACTGAAAGTTTGGCGTCGATACGTCATGCGGTTTGGAAGTTATTGCAGAAAAACGGGAGGGGGGCTATAAATAGCCCCCCCCCCCCAGTGGGGCGCGGGTACCGTTCCAACTGAAATACAGGGTGATTACATATTAAACCGTGAGTAGGTAGAACAAATCTTTTAAGCGTCGAGCCGTTAGGCGAGACGTTTAAAATATTTTTTCCCCACCTACGAGCGGTTTAATAATTTTATCCCGTACTGCCGATATCTTTCGGGTGCTTAATGGTAAAGAATTCATTTTATATAAAAATACGACATATTTCAGACTAGACGAAATGTCTACTAGACGTTTAACAGTTTGTTAATCGTCTAGACGTTTAACAAATCAGTTACACGATATCTGATAATTTTCTCTCTTTACACGTAAAGTAATTGTAAACGCTGTCTACGGCAGCCCCCGTTCACGAGCCTCAGAAATCCTTTACCGTGACGTCACGTGGGCGGCAAAAATCCCTTCACCCCATAACGATCCATACAAATGAGGCCGAGTTTTGAGCTGGGCTGACACCTAAGTTGAGGGCTAAAATATTATAAAAAGCATACCATTTGACTCAGCAAGGCTTGATTTTTCCAAAACCGGGCCTCAATAGGTCGAATTCGAATGAACCAAGCATTAATTTTGCCTTTTAGATGAGGCCTGCAAATTTCGATGAAGTTTTTTCTCGTGAAGGAAAAAAAATAGTGCTACCAAATGCGTCTTGCGCCGCTTTTGCAAAAGTTAGATACTAACGCCATTTTCTATCAATAATATGCAAATTTATTATGATTTTGGCCAAACCGAATGGCAAACATTCACTTAACAATAGCAAGACTTCTATGAGGTGCATTGTTTTGGCGAGTGATCTATAGTATGCTTCAAAAATACCACTGGAACTTGGTATGCCTCATACTGCACTACCAAAGGAACTGAAGACTCGTATCTGAGCCACTTTGAATACAAGATAATGGGCTGAAGTGTGAAAAAGGCTGTGCTATGCCTTTCAAGAGAAGAAAACATGCCAGTATTGGTCTTTTTAGCACAAATATTTATTTCTAGTGCATATTAATAATGTGTAAAATCATAAAATGTTGAAGTTCACTTGATACGAGAACAATCAACAGATCACCAAAGCAAGGGACCTGGTTGACTGGTCTTGTTGAGTCCATTTTTTACATTTCTCTCATCCAATAAGTACCTAGTTAATTGAGTAGAGTATTGTCTACTATTATAATTTGTGGTTAATACCTTAACATAGAACATTGTGAGCAACTGTCAGTGCTGCCGCAAGGCGCAAATGAGCAAGCACAAGTGCTACAGTGACATGAATCATGGTAAATGTATTTCCAAGGTGGCATGTACAATAAATGTTACAAGGGTGGAGTATGTTCTTTTATGAAATGGAAATCATTAGAGATACAAAACATCACATGATTCAGAGGAATATTGGTGAGCTGATGATATTTAATGTTCGTACTTCAATAGCACCCATAAAAATCATTTTCATTTTGTTGAGCAGTGCTCTTGAGATAATGGGTGACCGGGACAGGTCAAGTAATTGAGTTGAAGAACTATGCTGAAATATGAATACAACACTAAACATTTTCAGCACAAAGAACCATCACCTTCTTCGTCCACTCCAAACACATCTATTTTTGAATGCATATTGCACACTCAGGAAACCTTAATGTAAGGTTGAAGCTGAACTGCAGGTTCATTAGCTACGTTAGACTGTGCCCACTGCCCACAGTTCCTTGCATAAGAAGACCAGTGAGTGATGAAGTTCTAACTTTGAAATCATTGAAGTCACTTAGAAACATTGTCTGGCACATTTTGCACAGCTATTTCAATTTCATATAATCCAGCAAAAGATATATTGAACGTCAAATGGAAACCATAAATAATGAATGTGTACTGGAGCAGCAAATCTGCAAATATGGTAACATCGACGAGATCTTGTTGGTGCAGGCTTATTCGGCTGGTGCGAATTTGGTTTGGTGCGGAGCGGATTTGGCTAATGGCTTGGTGCAGTGCGGATTTACTGTGGTGGGTAGGTTAAGGTGGTAGGTTTTAAGTTGTAGGTTTAATATTGTAGATTGTAAGTAAGGTTAGGCCAGGTTTGGTTAGGTTTGGTTTGGTTTGATTAGCAAGCATCTCTGGGTAAAACGCCTCTCCTTCGTTGCAAAAACAAGTGTGACGCTGGCTTACTGACTACCACATATTTTCTAATGCATGATTTTATTAGATTTTACAATTTAAAACATGTCAAAAACTGTAAAG